ATGAGGCTTTTCTTAAAATCTTGACTAAATTCCATTTGAGGTGTAAAATTGAAATGAAAAATGAAATAGAAAATGGAATCTATTCCATCTCAGATTTTAAAATTTTTAGCAAAAATTCGATTCCATGTCCCATTTCATCTGAACTGTAAGGGGCTGCCCATATATTACGTAATCACGTTTTTGGTGATTTTTGACCCCCTCCCCCCCTTGGTGTTCAAACGTAATCTTTCAATAAAGAACCCTCCCCCCCCTTCCCCCCCAATGATTACGTAAACCCAAGAATACAATTTTTTTTTAATATGTGGATTCAAACGGCAACCCAATCTTTAATATTGTTTATAAATGGAGTTTGGTATGACACATTTGGTTCGTATACGCTGAAATTATCTCCAACATACTCTTCGTCAAGCCATTCCAGGTCTTCGCATCCTTCGTGTAATTGAACCACTAAACATTCTCTTTTTCGCCGCCCAGCCACTAAAAAAATTTTTTCTTTGCTTTCCTATCTAAGTTTGTAGATATATTTAAAGGAAAAAAGTTTTTAAAAAAATACATATAAAATGATTACGTAATCATTGAGCATGTAATCAAACATAATCATTTCAATGACCCTTCCCCCCCCCCCTAGGTGATTACGTAATATATGGACAGCCCCTAAAGAGGCCTTAAGGGGTTATATACCTTTTTTGAGCGAAAAAATTGAGGGAACTTTGGATTTTTTTTTGGTGTGTAGCAATTATTTTATGACAGTGAAGTTATTATTTATTGATAGTACATGTTTTTATCGAAACAACAAACCTTTGTTCTTGAAAAAATATGAAAAATTTACGAAGTTATGGCAATTCTTTCGGAACCCTTTTTTTTATAGCGGCTTGCGGTGACCACGATGGAAGTCCAGCAGGTCAACTTATATCAAAAAACCAAAAATTTTTAGTTAGTATAGTATTATATCCAGTTCGTGAACGATTATTTTTAAGAATATTTGCTTTTTTCTGCATACAGTAACAATTTTTCCAAAAAGTTGATTTTTCGAGTTCTAAAAATTTTATTAAAAAATTCTGATCTGCGAAATTAAAATTGGGGCATAAAAACTGAATTGTTCACGAACTCGGCACAATCATTACAAATAATTTAAAAAAAAAATGAAGAAGATCGATCGAATAGTTCTTGCGCAATCGTGGTCACAGCGAAAGCACTTTTGGAAAAACACGACTTTGAGATAATCGCATTCAAAGTTTTACGTTGACGTTGCAACTATTGAAGTCGAGCGCGTCAAAACGCTGTTTTCCTATCGAATTATTATTCGGATCTGTATGAAAATTTGGGAAGATGTTCTCTAGGGGATATACTGTAGGATTCAGCAAAAAAAAAAATTTCGTTTTTTTGAAAAAAAAAAGGTATATAACCCCTTAAACGAAAAAAAATATAGCTCACAAATAATGATTATTTTGTGAGCGATATTATTTCGCTTAAAAATATCACTCACATTCTAAGCTAAATTACAAAGATTTAAATGTGTGCTTGTAGGTGGATAGGTTTGTATAAGCCATTTAAAAAACGGTTTTTATTTTACAAGAGTTATGTGCGTACCCGATATTCTATCAACAGTAGACTTTTTGTAATTTATGTGTTACTGAAATGGCTTAACAAGAAAGTATAAACTATTCCACCCAGAACAAAGTTGATATGTAGGCTAGGTGGTTAGTGTGTAGGTACACAGAGCGGTGAACACGAGATCGAACCCCACATTCCCCCTTTTATTTAAAACTAGCAATACCCGAAGCGACGTTGTCCGCTACTATTAGCAAAGCATTTATTGCTGATTTTATCATATATTCAAATTTAAATTAATATCAGAGTAAAATCCCGCGTAACCTTAGCTAAACAGTAAACCCACCTAGAACGCACTAATATTCTAATCCTTCTAACCATAACATATCTTACCTTACCACCGCATTACCCCTAATATTACCTCACCTTAACCCCACCTATTTTATTCTAACCCTTTGCAAACTTTTTTAGCACATTAATGCTGTTTTCAATATTTCCTCGTCTTAACCCACCTTAGCACCAGTTTTTCCTCTTCTTAGCTAACCTAACTTTAGTCTCACCTGAAACAAAAATTTCCTTACTATACTTACTTACTTTAACTTCAATTTTTCTTAGGGCCGGTTTCTCGAGTCCCTGTCAAAGTCCCTGATAGCCATCTGTTCGAAAAACTTAAAGACCAAATAAACTGTTCGTAAAAGCAAATCCGCTTTCTCGACTGCTTTAATTTATCTGAACGAGAAACAATTACAGAGTGCTGTTAACGCACAGAATTGTGCTGTAGAGCGCAAAAAATGGCGTGCTTTGATTACACAGGCCGACAAAATGTGACATGGGTCGGTGTCCAGTCCTGCCACCATTTTATTTCGTTAAATGAGGCTTTTCTAAGCATAAGTTGCCACTACGCCTATAGTCCATCAGCTCTGGTATTTGCGGTATCTTTAATTTAAGAAAATCACAAATTTTCTTCGTCTTTTGGGATATATCTTCAAGAGTGGTCAACCAATTTTGGAAATCTTTTCGGAATTAAATAGTTACATGTCTGTTTTATACGGTCGTTTTGGAAAATCCAATCTAACCCAACCACAAGAGGAGGTGGGCGCATTCAAAATTTTAAAGTCACAGCAAAGTTTAAAAATCTTCATTTGTGAACAGCGTTTAAAAATTAAATAAAAATATTTTCTTCAACAATGCATTTTTGATCCAAAGACACCTTATGTCCTTACTGTTTAGGACACTCATCAGGTTTTTTTGAATTGTTTTGGAATTTTTAAAATTGTTTTTCTTACTTCCTTCACAGTGACGATTCACAAACAGTGCCCAAACCTGTCACAATTTTAAATCACATATTTCTAAACGATCTAAGTAGTTTTGCTTTGAATATAAGCACATGAGCGTAGCCTACTAATCTTTGGGGGCTGAAATGCCTGAAGTGTTATCCCCCTCCAGCTTTTAACTTACGCCCATGTATAAATATTTTTAAAGCAAGGGTTACTTGTGCTCAAAAATAGTTAAGCGTTACGTAAAATAGTGACAGGTTTGGGCACTGTTTGTGAATCGTCACTGTGAAGGAAGTAAGAAAAACAATTTTAAAAATTCCAAAACAATACACAAAAACCTGATGAGTGTCCTAAAAATTAGGGACATAAGGTGTCTTTGGATCAAAAATGCATTGTTGAAGAAAATATTTTTATTTAATTTTTAAACGCTGTTCACAAATGAAGATTTTTAAACTTTGCTGTGACTTTAAAATTTTGAATGCGCCCACCTCCTCTTGTGGTTGGGTTAGATTGGATTTTCCAAAACGACCGTATAAAACAGACATGTAACTATTTAATTCCGAAAAGATTTCCAAAATTGGTTGACCACTCTTGAAGATATATCCCAAAAGACGAAGAAAATTTGTGATTTTCTTAAATTAAAGATACCGCAAATACCAGAGCTGATGGACTATAGGCGTAGTGGCAACTTATGCTTAGAAAAGCCTCATTTATCGAAATAAAATGGTGGCAGGCCTGGACACCGACCCATGTCACATTTTGTCGGCCTGTGTTATTTCATCAGCTGTTTGGGTATAATTAAAAGGAAAAAGTGATTTCGTGTCTTCTTCTTAGTTGGCTATGGGAAATCAGCTGTCATTCTATCGAGTCGAAAACGCTTATAAGGGACTCCGAGTCCCTGTCAAAGTTAGCTCTCACATTGATGCTCGAGAAAGCCAAAATGCCTTAGCAGGGACTTTATCTGTTCGAGAAATGTTAGCCGGCACTCGAGAAACCGGCCCTTCGTAAAACTTGTTTGTCACCTTGACCTTATCCTCACTAAAGTCCAAACGAACCTTATCTTTCTCACCTTCACCCTTCCCTTACAGTACATTTACCCTAATCTATCTAATACCTCCTTAATCGCAACTTAACCCCTAATCTCACCTTATTCCCACTGATTTGGTTAGCTAAGCGAATGTAGAGAAAAACTCTTACTCTTTTTATACCCTTGTAGAGGGTATTATAATTTCACTCAGATGTTTGCAACGCAGTGAAGGAGACGTTTCCGACCACATAAAGTATATATATTCTTGATCAGCACCAATAGCCGAGTCTATCTAGCCATGTCCGTCTGTCCGTCTGTCCGTTTCTATGCGAACTAGTCTCTCAGTTTTAAAGCTATCGCGATGAAACTTTCCCGAAAGTCTTCTTTCTATTGCAGGTAGTACATATGTCGGAGAGAGCCGGATCGGACCACTATATCTTAAGGCTCCCATAGGAATATTCAAACAAATTTAAAAAAATTCATTGTAACTTTGTAGGAAGTAGGCGTTTTGATTCTTGACCACTTAAAAACAAAATTGAAATAAATAGAAACGCTGAATCTGGAATCCCTGGAACTGCACCGAGTGAGCATTCTTTTATCTACAAGGGTGTATAAGCTTCGGCTGGCCGAAGGTAGCTTCCTTTCTTGTTTACTGTTAATTTCGAACAGATCTAACCCCCAAAAACCTTATAAACGTAAAAAAGAATATATAAAAAATAACACAAAGTTGAAAGTTTACGGCCAAAATGCTTTAAGGGAAAACCGGACCCGGTCGCAGGATCGGTAGATAAACAAAAAAGAAGTGCACCAACGTCGGCTGGGGTTCAACAGCTGGAGTTAAAAATTTCCGGAAATAAGGAAAATTAAAAAAACGCCTAAAGCTCCATCCGTCTGTCTCTCTGTCCGTCTGTCTGTTTCTACGCAAACTAGTCTCTCAGTTTTTAAGCTATCGGGATTAAACTTTCCCAAAAGTCTTCTTTCTATTGCAAGTAGTATATATGATATATACTTTATTTTGTCGGGTCTTCTTCACTGCATTGCAAACATCTGACTAAAATTATAATACCCCTGCAAGAGTATAAAAATATGGCATATAATTATCACGATTTTTGCTACAAATTTATTTTTATTTATTAAAATTTTAGATTTGAAGAAAACGTCAAAGAAACGACGAATAGCTCTAAAAAAAAAATCGTTAACCACGAGCTTTTTTGATATTGGAAAGAAAGATGATCAGAGTAAGTTTAAGTTAATCAGACGTTGTTGTGTACTCTCCATTAGCATTAAACAAATTTTAAACTTAGAAAATTCCCATAATCCAAAATTTCTATATATCAAGATGGTCGCATTGTATTGTTTGGAACTCCATTGGAATGTTGCTTAACAAGAGACACGAAGGAAAACGTTGATATAGAGGACCGTTCAAAATATTCACTAATGTCAGTGTTTCGGGGAAGCGGTAGTAACCCAGGAAGTGTTATGAAGCTAAACGATAATGTAAGTTCTGCATCCCAAGCCAATTTCCTTCTCATTTTTTTATACTAAACTTTTAACTATATTTAATCGAAAAAACAAAGCTAAGAAATAAGAAATGGTGAACTTCTAAGACGCGACTTTTTGACAAGATTAGCAATAAGTTTAAACCTTTGTTCTCTGCAAATCTAATAAAATGTAATTTGCGACTTATTGATATATTTGCTTAATATACGATAACTTTTTGATGTGCCTATATTTCTATATAATTTTATTTTCGGGAAGTAAGGCCAATTTAGATCTCAAATTGAGTTGCAAACGTGTAAAAAGTATAATCATCCACAAAAATAGTCATATAAAATCAAGCATGCAGTAAAGCGACTGCACTGCTTGAATTTCATTATAACTTATAATTTCATAACTTGCGCTTTGTAGGTGAGATCATATGAAAGCTTACCGTCTAAGTCCCTGGAATATGGATACATGGACCCCCCTGAATGTTTTAGCGACTCTTTTACAAATATGTCAAAACCATCATCATCGTTATCCCAGTTGGAAATCGGAAACGCTGAACAATGTTTCGAAAAGCCGTATCAGGATCAACCACTACTTATGGTACCAATGTTTGTAAATAACTGTATCGAATATTTAGAAGAGAATGGTTTACAAAAAGTTGGGCTTTTTCGAGTAAGCACATCTAAAAAAAGAGTAAAGCAAGTAAGTTGATGAGTCATTTAAAAATTTACGGTGTTTTTTAATTCAACTTTAACTACTAGTTGCGCGAAGAATTCGATAAGAATAGTCATTTTAGGATTTCTGTTGATACTTGCCCGCACGATGTTGCAACCTTGCTGAAAGAATTTCTACGGGACCTTCCAGAACCACTACTTTGCGACAGACTCTATTCAACTTTTTTAAAAACGCAACGTATGTATTATATTGTAACATGAGATGTACTCAGCTTCAAAACGACTAATTTCAGGTATACGGAATAGACGCTTGCAACTAGAGGCTATATCACATTTAATTAGATTACTTCCTATACCGCACAGAGACACGTTGTATGTCTTACTAGTATTTCTAGCAAAAGTGGCGTCACATAGCGATGATATATTCACTTCTGACGGAAATTGTTTAATGGTTGGAAATAAAATGGATAGCAATAATCTAGCGACAGTATTTGCCCCAAATATCTTGCGTAGTACACAATTGACATTGCCACGGGACAGAGAGCAAGAAAGTATGAACGATGCTATTAATGTCGTAAGGTTGGTCACTTATATATTAATACTTTATAAGTCTGATAAGATGCAGTGTTTTTTTAAAGATTTCTTAAGACTTTATTTGTTATTTATAATACGCTGAAACACTAGACGTTTAGATTTTTGTAATCTATATGTTCAAAACAGACATGGAAACAAAAAGTGAGGTAATATTAATAATTGAGAAATTACAGAATAGTGTTGAAACTCGAACATTTTGTTTCAAGGCCAGGAGACAAAAAAAAGTATCTATCCTTTAGTGGGATTTTCGACAAGTAAAAGGAATAAATCCAATAATTAAGAAACAAGAAAGGAAGCTACCTTCGGCCAGCCGAAGCTTATATACCCTTGCAGATAAAAGAATGCTCACTCGGTGCAGTTCCAGGGATTCCAGATTCAGCGTTTCTATTTATTTAAATTTTGTTTTTAAGTAGTCAAGAATCAAAACGCCTACTTCCTACAAAGTTACAATGAATTTTCTTATATTTGTTTGAATATTCCTATGGGAGCCTTAAGATATAGTGGTCCGATCCGGCTCGCTCCGACATATGTACTACCTGCAATAGAAAGAAGACTTTCGAGAAAGTTTCATCGCGATGGCTTTAAAACTGAGAGACTAGTTCGCATAGAAACGGACAGACGGACAGACGGACGTGGCTAGATAGACTCGGCTATTGGTGCTGATCAAGAATATAAGCAAACATCTGACTGAAATTATAATACCCTTAAAAATGAAGCAAACTTCGGCCTGTTCCAGTATATATTATATTAACTTGCAGATCATTCCTATTAAATTAAAAATGAATCACAGATGTATTATAAAAACGTTTAATTGAGATTTATTTACGCATTTTTGCATTAATTTTTTGATCCTTCCTATGACAGCTATATAATATTATTGTCCGATTTTTATACCCTTGCAGAGGGTATTATGATTTCAGTCAGAAATTTGTAACGCAGGGAAGGAAGTGTTTCCGCCCACATAAAGTATATATGTTCTTGGTCTGCACCAATAGCCGAGTCCATCTAGCCATGTCCGTCTGTCCGTTTCTATGTAAACTAGTCTCTCAGTTTTAAAGCTATCGCGATGAAACTTTCTCAAAAGTCTTCTTTCTTTTGCAGGTAGTACATATGTCGGCGCGAGCCGGATCGGATTACTATATCTTAAAACTCCAATAGGAATAATCAAAGAAATATAAGAAAATTCATTGTAACTTTGTAGGAAGTAGGCCTTTTGATTTTTGACAACTTAAAAACATAATTTTAAATAGGCAGGAAGAATCTGGAATCCCTGGATTTGCACCGATATAGTGAGCATTAACCTATAGGTATTTACTTTATCTGCAAGGGTATATAAGCTTCGGCCTAAGCTAGGTTCCTTTCTTATTTTATTTTAGTTCGAAATTAAAAAAAAAAATAAAATAAAAATCCTAAAATTATTTTATGTATGGGGTTTGAAAGATAAAGGGTGTATCTTTTAAAAAACTTTAACTTCGAACCAAGCCATGCATCCATTTGCCTCTGAGAGCTCCGCAAAGTTGGTCAATTTCAGCATTTTTCGAACTTTGAGGTCCTTTTGCTAAGAATCCTTGCGTCGGGGAACTCTTTGGAAAACGCAGTTTAACTTGGGAATTCGTAACGAATCCAAAAATATAGCATTCATCGAGGTTAATTTTTGATGCTGCTGTTATTGTTAAGTTTAATTCGAAATTCGGCTAAAATTTATTTTCTTTTATTCCATTCCATTAATTTTTTAGTCGTCCGATTTTTTTTTTAATTAATCCAAAATTCAGAAATATAAAAAAAACAAGAGAGAACGCTATAGTCGGGTTGGTGTCCCGACTATTTAATACCCGTCACTCAGCTAAAGGAAGTGCGAACGCTGTACTCGGGTTCGTGTCCTGACTATGATCGTAGCTCAGCTAAAGGGTGTGCGGGGGAGATAGATATATGTAGATATTTTGATTGCGTATAACTTTTTAATGAATGGTCCGATTTGAAAAATGTCTTCTACATTTTGATTGGTATAATTATACACAACAAAATTGCATTCATACTTCTGGAAAATCTTTAAAGGTGTGGGCGCCAGACACATTATAAAATTGTTAGTGGGCGATTGTGGGCGTTAGAGGGGGCGTGGCGCTTGGCTGAAATAAACTTGCGCTGCGTAGGAAGCCCAAGAATATGTGTGGAAAAATCAACCTTCTAGCTTTTGTAGTTTCCGAGATCTCAGCGTTCATACGGACGGACAGCCGGACAGACGGACATGGCTAGATCGACTCAGCTAGTGACCCTGGTCAAGAATATATATACTTTATGGGGTCGGAAACGCTTCCTTCTAGCTGTTACATACTTTTGCACGAATACAATATACCCTTTTACTCTACGAGTAACGGGTATAACACCAGTTTACAAAAAAAAAATCGATGAAATATACCATGAATGAAACCTTTGTTTTCCGGTAAGGTACGTCTTCCTGATTAAGAAAATGGTCCTACACCGTTTTGGGCGAGTAAACGAAATTACGGACAAAGAAGACAATTTCACAATAGACAATTAAAAAGACATGCAGGTCAGAATACGAGTAGTCAAGTACGAGTAGAGTTGCTAAGTAGGATAGTATTATTGATTTAAAGATAGGCAGTGAGTCGGTAGTAGATATTAGGTGATATAGTCTATTATAGTCATTGCAGAGTACTCTAAAAGGTTCATGCATTGCATAATTAGAGATACAATGATTTAAAACTAGAGGAATATAGTTTCTTGTGAATCTATTTGGCACATTAAAATGCAGGCGACCCAGTAACTCGGGACTCTCCACATCACCATGAATAAGATTCCTAATAAACGTAATACCAAGCATAGTTCTTCGATTAACTAATGATGGTAAGTTAATTAGAAGTAGTCTACTAGAGTAGGATGGCAGTATTAGGCTTGTATCCCAGTTAAGTCCCCGTAAGGCAAATATTAAAAAGTTTTTTTGCACAGACTCAATCCGGTCTATATGCACCCCATATTGGGGACTCCAAACTGGAGCGCAGTACTCAAGAATTGGTCGGACTAATGAAATAAACAAGGTCTTTGTGACATAGGGATCATCGAATTCCTTCGACCACCTTTTGATAAATGCAAGCACGCCCCTGGCTTTATTTACCATGGTAGTAATGTGATCAGAAAATTTAAGTTTAGGATCCATATAGACTCCAAGGTCGTCAGCATGCGTTATTCTATCTAACACACAACCGCTCAAAGTATAAGTTGAATAGTGAGGGCTGACACGGAAAAAGGTCATTAGTTTACACTTAGAACCATTTAAATTTAAATCATTATTCATGCACCATGTTTGAAATGCATTGAGATCAGATTGTAAAGCTAAACTTTGTGCGGGATCATTAAATTGCAGGCACAACTTAACGTCATCTGCGTACATAAGTACACGTGAGTTCGTTAGGACTAGAGGAAGGTCATTTATAAATAATGTAAACAGGAGCGGACCAAGATGACTTCCTTGTGGTACACCGGACGTAACTCGGATTAGGGATGATAAAGAGTTTTTAAAAATGACCCTTTGAGTCCTGCCATTCAAATAACTTAAGATCCACCTAAGAAGATCATCAGGAAACCCCAAAAGGTCCAATTTCCGAACTAAAATCGGATGGTTTACAGAATCAAACGCCTTACTGAAATCAGTGTAAACCACATCAGTCTGACGATTTTTTCTAAAACCATTTAACACAAATGAAGTAAACTCCAAAAGGTTGGTTGTCGTTGACCTACGTTTTATAAATCCGTGCTGACAAGAGGAAATAAGAGACCTACAACTGTGTTGCAAATGGGGAGTAATAATGTTCTCGAAGAGCTTCGGAATAGCTGATAGCTTTGAAATACCTCTGTAATTACATGCGTTCAATTTGCTCCCCTTTTTATGAAGCGGGATAACAAACGATTCCTTCCATCTATGCGGGAAATCTGACGTTTCTAAAGACAAAGTAAAAAGTTTGTGCAATGGTCTACACAAAGTCTCAGCGCAATACTTGAGCACACATCCAGGGACTCCGTCAGGACCCGGAGAGTAGACTGGTTTGACCCTTTGCAAATCTAAAAGAAGTGAGCTTTCACTTATAACTGGACAAAAAATAAAGTTTGATTTAGGCATGTCATATGGGTAAGACTGATCTGACGGACTTGTTGTTGAATAGGTGGTTTGGAAAAACTGTGCAAAAAGATCGGCTATGGCCTGATCTGTGTTTGCGGCAGAATTTTCAAATTTAAGGGTTGATGGGTAACTTGAAGATTTACGCTTTGTGTTAACAAAATTATAAAACTGTTTTGGATCCAGTGTAAACTGCGTCTTACAACGAGCTAAATAGTTTTTGTAACACTGAGCGTTAAGCACGGTAAAATCCGACCGAGCACTTAAGTATCGGGAAAAGGCAGCTTGTGATCCGGAAGCTCTAAACTTTTTGTACAGTCTAGACTTCACATTTTTAAGTCGTGACAACTCTTTACTAAACCACGGAGGTTGGCTAGAAATTTTAGGATAATACGTAGGAACGCATGTATCAAAAACTGCGTTTAATACATTATAAAATATATTAACAGCTTCAGTCATATTAGTACATAAGTACAGATTAGACCAATCCGAGCAAGCGATAAGGCTATTGATAAGTGCAAAGTTTGCTCTACGAAAGCAGGGGATGCGTTTAGCTGACTTTTCAGATATTTCAATTAATTTTGTACCCGTGTCAACAGTCAGCTCCAGCGTTGGGTGATATGGGTCTTCTGGTAAAGTAATTGCAGAGGTTTTAACTATGCAGACACAATCTGGACTTGAAACAAAGCATAGATCCAGTAATCGTCCTAACGAATTTTGAACATGGTTTACTTGAGACAATGAAATATCAAGCAAACCATCAAGAAAATCATGCTGCGTTGAAGGTAACAATATATTCGAGGTTTCGACGGTGGACCATGTCGCTCTAGGTATATTAAAGTCACCTAAAACT